CTATCCATTTGCAAGAAACCATTTGTTTTTCTGGTTTGTATTCATTTACATTTTTGATCACACGGATTTCAAAAGTAATTAAGGGTCTGGGAACGTGACTTTGTTGGTAAAGTACAGGTAGGAGGACCTGAACTTGATACACAACTTCCATATGAAATGCTGGGCATGGTGACAGGTATTTGTAATGCAAGCACTCAGGAGCAGGAAAAGACAGAAAGATAATTGGAGCTTGCTACTCAGTCAGTCTAACCTAACTGCTTATCTCTAGGATAATGATGTAGATATCACTTGAAAAATAACTCCTGAGGATGTCCTCTGACCTCGATATGTATGGATACACATGAGTACATGTACTTGTGGGCACAGATGCACCTATGTAGAACAATCATGCGATATAAATGAATCAAATGCGTGAAGGATGATGACAAGCCAAACAAACTCATCTTAAGATAAACAAATTCATTATCCCCTAGGTTCATATATAAATTAGCACAATGAAAAATCCAAATACAATATGAATACATTAAAATTATGGGGATCATGCCCAATATTAAGCATATTAACTTGAGGTCAGAAACTATCTTTTACCTTGTATTATTCAGTAAAATAGACTATTGAGTATATCCACTTCCCTAAATTCATCCCAAAGAAATATTCTTTAATAAAAGGAAACCAGTGTTTATTACAGAACTTGCTTATACAAACTATGATTTAGGGATTTACAGGAATAGACTGTTTCCCAACCTAGGTTGTAAACCAGGTTATATTTATCCCTGAGTCATAATAAAATAAAATCTTAATCATTTTTCTGCGTTTTGCAGAACTATTTAATACTTTTTAAAGAGTTATACTGAATACAATTCATAACATTTATGATTATTAAGTGGACCTTAATCAGTGCTAAGCACTTTTAATATCCCATTAAATAATCATTGTGGTTCAGGTGCTGTGGCTATCTTTATTTAACAGGTACATACTGGGAAGATCAAAAAGTTTTGTTGACTTAGTCAAATACATTCCTTTTAAAAATGCTAAAATCATTTGAGCCTAACTCTGGATGTCTCTACGAATCAATCTGACTTTAGGACATGAGCTAGTTGAATAGACCAGTGCAATTTCTGCCACTGCAACAAAACTCTTGAGTGTAGATTTATACACAGAAAATAAATTCATTTACTTCACTGTTTGGGAATCTCAGTGTGTTGTACCTGCCTCAGTATCTACCAGGAGGACCTTGTGCACGTATCTAGCTAAGTGGATGGCATCCATGCAGAAACATATTTATGAGCAAAAATATAAAAAAATAAACAAATAAAACATAGGGAGGGGAGACTTGTGTGTGTGTGTGTGTGTGTGTGTGTGTGTGTGTGTGTGTAAATAAACAGTCATTAGCAAGAATTAACGAGGATCCCATAAAAATCACTCAGGTCTTCTCTTAGGGAAGTATCTGCCATGACCTAGGCCTCATTTCTTAAAGGTTTCAACCTCAAGAGTTAGCCTTCAACACATGAACTCTTAGGGAGCACACTCAATCCATATGCAGAACAATATGAACCACAATTCTTGTTGTCAAAATAACATTGGATTTCTCTTTATTTCTTATTTAGGGTTTCACAGAACATCACAACCAAAGCAACTTGAAGACGAAAGGGTTTATTAGGTTTATATTTCACATGTCACAGTTCATCATCAAAAGTGATCAGGATAGGAATTCAAGCAGGGCAGGGACTTGGAGGCAGGAGCTGATGCAGAGGCCATGGAAGGAACTGCTTACTGGTTTGATTTGCATGGCTTGCTCAGGCTACTTTCTTATAGAACCCAGGACCACCAGCCCAGGGAAGACACCATCAATGATGGAAAGGTCCTCTCCTTAAATCATTAATTAAGAAAATGCCCTACAGTATTGGCTATAGCCCCAAACTTACTGAAGCATTTTCTTAAATGAGGTTCTCTCTTATAAGATGTCCTTAGCTTAGGTCAAGTTGACATGGAACTATCGGACACATCTTACTGGGATCTAGTTCTGATACCATGCCGCAGGATTGTTGCTGAGCCCTGATTGACAACCACATTCAGCATGACAGCAAACTTAAGGCTTTTTCTAGGAATTGTTAAGACTTGCTTGTTGAATTACTGTGGTTTTCATGACACAGGGTCATGCTGTTCTCTTTTGTGGTTCACCAAAATGTGGCATAAATCTATGAACAACCCCCACCCTGCAGCAGAAGCAACATTGGTTGTCTGCCTTCTCTGTCTACTCTAGGAGTATGGGATTACAACCATTCATCCACAACTTCTAACAGCATCCAAGCACTTGGACAGCACATCTGCAGACATTAAAAAAAAACATGCACAACGGAGTCAGGGTATATAGATTATGATAGGCAGCAGCCCCTACTTGTAGGGTTGCATTTAATTGTCCTTTGAAGGGGTTTATCAACTTAGTAGCCAATGTTCAGGTCAGTGTCCATTCTGATGAAAACACAATCTCATCTAATTTAAGCTAAGCCTTGATAAAGTTGCACCCTCATTTCTAGAATCTTCTGCACCGGTTATTTCATTATCTCTGTATTTTATTGCCTAGGTTGGTGGTCTTGCATTTTGAAACCTGTAGTTGTTAGACATGTTACATGGGCATATCTACCTGTCTTGGAATGATTTAGGCATTTAGGTACTCTTTAGAATCACTAAGACTAGAGGCACATAACCTTTCACAAACCAAGGGAACGACACATTCTTCTATCTTATTAAAGCACATCTGTTTAATATGATCACCATAGAAAGTAATTACCTTTACTTTAATTAATTAATTAAGGTAAATTAATTAATTTACGTTAAACTAGAGAACCAATACATAAATACTAAATAATGCAATTATAGTATCCACCTACATGAAACAATATCATTTGAGATGTTTCAATGTCACCTTATTTTTCTTTAAATAAGAAGAAATTTTGCTTTGATTTACTTATTCATCTCTACTTGGTCCCTACTTATTTTCTGAAATATTATATAAATACTCCACTGTTGGCTAGAGTTGAGGAGGGTTGAATAGGACGAGTTTGTCTTATAACGCTAATGTTTTTATCAGAGGTTTGATCTCTGTATCATCTTTCTTCCACCGAGTTGCTGACACCATGCTTATCAGCGAAAATTTGCCCTGGCTGAGAGTACTGTCTGAACTGCTCACATGCATCATGTAAAGGATATGACTTTATGTGAGAAAACAGGGCAATTTCCCTTGAATGACTCCTGCGGTCCATTTGCTTGATGCTCTTGCACATGCAAGAGCATGCACCATGCGTGGACTTACCCTTAGATGCTGATCATGAACAACAAGGTATAAAGCTTTCCACCATCCTTACCAGCAAAGACTTTCTATAACACACACTACATTTCAGCAATATGAATATATTATAAAACAACGGATACTACCTATCATTTAGTTACGACAACAAAGCTGTGGACTGCTGTCCTTAGTGATACACTGAATAATCCAACCGTCTTTCCAATCATTGTACAGAATGCATCCATTTCTTCCTTCAGCACAATGTCAGCCCAGGGACTATTTAACTATCTTCCAGTTTTCAACTGTTTGTTTTAAACACTGGAATAATAGTGATATCAATCTCCCTAGAAGAATAGAGCATTTTAAAGAGACAGAGAAAAAAAAAATTAGTCAGACTGTAACTTGACATCTACAGCAACCAAGCTAGTTCTTGGCTCAAACAGAACTGATTCCAAACCTTCAGCAACCCCAGTCCTCAGCTACAAGTAGTTAAACAGAAACTAATAGACTTTAAATGTCGTGACATTTAATTTTTAAGTGGACAGTTGCTTATTTCCTCTGTAGAATTTTAAAGAGCAAAAGTAAAACAAACCAAGTCAAATAAACCAAATCTCTCCTCTCGTAAATATAATCATGGCTTCATCTCTTTCTCCAAAGACCTCACCCTTCTCATCCACAGATATCAAAAACTCAAATCACAAAACCAAGAGGCAGTAACAACACTCACCAGTGCAGTCTCTGTTAGGGGCGGTGACAGGAAGCATGCTTTACATAGGAAAATGAACATCTTAGTCATTTGCAAAGATGTGATTATGCCTTTCCTGGGAGCAGAACCTGTGGAAAGAGCTCCAGGAGAGGAATGCTTACATTTCTGATTCTCTGCCAGGGTAAAGCCTGCTGGGCCAGTTTATGGGGACTGTGCTTGAATAGGGTATTCTGCTGTAAGCAGGAGTGCCCATTTCTGGCTCAGTAGCTTCCCATTTGGCAGGTACCGTGTGTGTTATTTGCAGAGTTTATACCGCAGCAGCATAGATTAAAAAAAATGAAGAAGAAGAAGAAGGTATTGATAAGCAGGATACATCTAACGATTCCACCCTAGAAATCACTAGCATGACTAAGTGACAAACTACACCTGTAGGTGGTTTAGAAGCTCTGCTTGAGGCTGAATAGTGTCCTGAATTGTGACATCCAAAAATAAGAGAAAATTCAAACCCAAAGTGGAAATGGCCTGTGTAGTACTTTTGACTACACTCACAAGGCTACAATACTTTCATTAAAGTGTATCATGATGGAGAGATGGCCCAGTAGCTAAATGTATATACATATATACATGTAAATATATATATATATATATATATATATATATATATATATATATATATATACTGCTCTTACAGCCTACTTTAGCTTAAATCCCAGTATCCACATTGGGCAGCTCTTAATTGCCTGTAACAGATGAGTTTTCAGACACCTGAGTTCACACACACACACATGCACTCACACACACCACACATCAGACACCATCTCACATAATTCAAAATAAAAATAAATTTAAAACAGAAATGTATCCCACTTGCCACCATATCGCATTCAGAATAAGCAACCTGAGCGCTTCAACTTTGTACTTGTACGACATTTGTTTCGTGTATGCTCAATGAAATGTTTCACATAGTCTCAATTCATCCACTTCTTTGGTATTTTCCCCTAACAGAAGAAACTTAGAAGATGATCTTACTTCCCATAACTTCTGTATATCAAAGAAAAAGGAAGGACGAGCTGCCTATACACCGAGTCTTAGAGAACTCTCCTCAGGATATTAGCTTTCTTAATGGAAGGACTCCCAGGTTCTCACACTGTTAAGGTAGGCATTGGCACGCTCCTTTACAGACTGTGGAGGATTCAGTCATTCAAACATTTGCTTGGATAATCTTTGACTCAGCCAGCCCATTTTCTATGCAATGTCTTCGAAAATTCCTTTTATGTGGGCAAGTTGGGGAAAGAAAATAATTGGAAGGAATAATTCCTTATCTTTACCATTAGTAAATAGGTTCAAATAGTTACTCCATGTTAAATATGTAATTTCTGGTATCCTGCTGCTTAATGCTGTAACACATCTTCTCAAACATACAGGCATCCATGCGCACACACATACATACATGTATGGTCATTATTTACCTGTATGAATGGAGAAGAACACTGGTGGGGAACGTTTCAAACAGAAGACAATTTCAACTTTGTGTATGTCTATAAAGCCCAGAGTTTCTGGTGCCAGTTTGCCTTCCAAATTAGGTTAACAATGCTCAGATGAATTTGCATGCTCTGAGTAAATCCTAGACAGGCAGAGAGATAGGAGCGGCGAGTCTGGGAGGAAGCAAAATAAATAACCTGCTAGGATTAGAGAAGCCTGTAGAGGTAAAGGGACTCTTGCTGCCCACAGAATAAATAAATCACAGAGTCAAGGGTTTATTGCTTATTTTCTGTAATAACTGTATATTCATGTTTTGATCCCATTTTATTTTTCTTGGGAGATCATTTCTTTAGGGCTGGGGAGATGATTTAATAAACAAAATGCCCGCTGTGCATGGATGGGGATGAGGTGTGGCCATTCTCTCCTGAGGAGCGGGTAAAAGGAGGATCCCTGACGCTCACTGGCCACTCAGGCAGCAAATCAGTGAGCCCTAGGTTCAGTGGGAAAGCTTGTGTTGAACACTTAAGTGAACAGTGATAGGGGAAGGAATTCCCTGAACTTTGAACTCTGGCCTACACCCACCCCTGTAACACACACATGAGAGAGAAAGAGAGAAAGAGAGAAAGAGAGAGAGAGAGACAGAGACAGAGAGACAGATGACAGACAGACAGACAGACAGACAAATAATTTCTTAAGCTTTTGAGAAAAAAATGAATACCAAACATTTGTAATGTAGTCACGTGCTCCATGATTATATGGTAACACACTGGGAACGATCAGATTCCACTCTGCCTATTGCACATACCTCCTTGTACAGAGGCAGGGTCACATTTCGGTCATTCACCAGCTTGACTCAGCAGTGAACCTGGGGATAAAAGAAACCATGTTGGCATTCTTACCTTCCGATCCGAAATTAATCCTAGGAGAAACCAGGCATGGTTATCAGCACCACAGGCTGCATCCTGGCTACACATCTATGAGAGATCAGTTAGGACCTCTTGAAGGAGGAATCCGAATAGTGTATCTCCAAACTCCCAAAAAGGATGGCCATGGTGAGAGGAAACACTGCCAGAAGCCACTCAGTCAAGGACTGGGGTTCTCTGTGGTAGTCAAAGCCTAGACGAGAAGAAAACGTAAACAAGGCACATGTAACTCTCTGCTGAACTGAATAGCAGTAGGCTACATTCCTACAGAAAACACCGTTTCATTTTCACTTTTTTTTGTATCTGCTAAAACACAATTGTTGTGGGGGGAGGGAACAGAAGAAGAGAAGGGAGGGGAAATTGCAGTCGGGATGCAAAATAAGTGGAAAAAATAATTAAAAAGAAACCACACACATTTGTTTTGTAAGTCTGCGTGCGATTTTTAGTGTTTGACAATTTTGAAAAGATTTGATTACACCTTGTGACCAAAATGAGCAATGGAGGTAAGTTATACCCACCACCTTGGAATCCCATAATTATGTGTTTAAGTAGAAGGAGTAAGGTGAGATTGGATAAGCTTTGTTTTAGGGATTTAATACAAAACACGGAGTGCGACTGAGGACATATTGTATTTCTTCATCATGAAACTTGAGGTTTATCATGCGACAGCTGCAATTTAACATGTCATATGCTAACAACTGGTCCAAACATGGAGGGGCGTGTGCAGAAGGATGGGGGCCTAGGAAGGATATCAGGAGTCCTACACCAAGGCCCTCTCCATACATACAAGACAATGCATCAGGAGAAACTGGAGAGGTTTTGTAAGTTCCATTATGATTGTAATAAGGGTCTGGAGAGATAGTTGAGTCTTGAAAGTCTAGGCTCACAACCAACAGATCAAGGACACAGCAAGATGACCAGCAGTACTTAGCTCCTTCAGCCTGATGTAAGTGTGTTCAAGTAAGAGGGCACTTTTGATCTTGAACAATAACTGTTGAGGGACAGTCCCCTCATCTAAATTTATAATCTTCACAGGGTGCTAGTGTGGCGAAGGTGATTTTGTCAGCAAATCATGAAAGTCTAAATCTGGATCCCCATTGCTCAAGTATAAGCCAAATTCAAGCGGCTCCCTTTGATATAAGCTCTGGACAGAGGAAGACAGAAGATCCCTGGGACTTGTTGACCAGGTGGTCTAGACAAACTGTTGAGGTTTAAGTTCAGAGAGAGACCCTGACTCAAAAATTAAGATGAAAAGTAGTTGAGGAGGACATTTGTTGCTGGCCTCTGTTCCCATATACATGCTCACAGATGTGCATGTGCACCTCCATGTATGCAAAATACACACACAGACACACACAGAGGTTTGTGTTTGTATAATAACACTTACAAATGAATTTTGAAACTTCTTACTTGGCTTTAGAGTGCTGGTTGAAAGTAGCTCTAAATTGCACTCGGTGGCTCTGAAAATAAAACAAACAAACTAAAAAGAAATATCCTTTAAAATCAAACCTTCTAAATAGTTGCAATTTTCATCTTTGGAACAAGAAGCAGAGAATGGTGAACCACATTTTGAAACGTGAGCCATCTTCTACTTCTGTGAGACAAAGTTCCCTTAATGGGACAAAGAAATTGTGGACCAGCTCCAGTATGACAGCTTCGTCACTATTAAATCCAGCAAGTATGTTTCTTAAGTCCACTAAAAACAGCTCAAAGAATTAAGCCATCTTGTAAAATAATGATTGTTCAGTGTCATAAAGAGAAAAAGAGCACATTTTAACACATTTTTGTTTATTCATTACGTTCTCTATAAATCTAAAAGGCCATAAAATATTTTCACTTCAAAGACAGAGAAAATATCTATAAAATTTGTCAAAATGATGTTTATGAAATTGTAGGAGAAAGGATACCACCATGTCAGTTTCTGTTTTACTGTTTTTTTGGATGAGGTCTATGATTATTATTTCAACTTCATGTCTATAATCATCTCATGCATTCTTCTTTTCTGTAATCATCTTTAAATACACGAGGAGAAGAAGATTGCAGATTTAGTAAATTGCAGAACGTGAAATCTAGCATTGATCTTTTTGTGTAATGAAGAAAAAGAGGCAGTGCTGTGTGTTCATGAGGGTGTGTGTCTATGCACACCCATGCGTGCCTGTGCATGAGAGAGGAAGGGTAAAAAACAGACAAAAATATAATACCGCAGACATATAAGAACATGGACTCCACTAAGTTTGCAGGAAGATGTGGAGATGTGGTTGAACTTTCTCTTGACTGTTGCTGTGCCTTGTGCAATAAAGACACATGCTGTAAGATACTGATTAAAGTCTGAACTGCATGGACTTGTGTGCAGCTGGCCCAAACTTCTTTTACAAAGTTATCTGTGTGAAGGCCTCCTCATGAAACTATTTTATATTTTATCTTATATTTCACCCTGTCTATGAAACATAGAAAAGGACAAAGACCAATGCATAGAAGTCAGGCGGGACAAAGTGCTAGTGTCTTTAAAAAATATGTACGTGTGTGTGTGTGAGGGGGGTGATATTAGTGATCTTGCCTGTGTGGGTGAGCATGAGTAGAAACCAGAGGTTGACATTAGAATGTCTTCTTCTATGACTTCTCCACGTTATTACTATTATCGTCATCACCATCATCATCATCATTATTATACAATTTATTCCTTGAACCTGCAGCTCATTCTTTTGACCATTTTTCTCGCCAGTGAATGCCTTTGTCCCCAAGTGCTACTTTATAGACCTATGCCTTCATACCTGGAAAATTTTATATATATATATATATATGTGTGTGTGTGTATATATATATATATATATATATATTCAGTTGCAATCAGGACTCACGTCTTCACACTTAAATCTACAGCAGCCATTTTACCCATTGAACACTCTCCACAGCCCTTCATGCTTCTTCATTGTTAAACCATCAAGGCTTGCAGAAAAAACTACTTTGTGAATAAATTACACTGAACTGTAAAGCTTCAGAACTAAATTTACGTATCTCCATCATTTAGTTAGTGTCCAGCCTGGAAATCATATTAGTATTAAAAAAATTGTTATAAATGCTACCAAATAGGTTGGATACCATCACTGGTAACAAAAAGAGAATTCATTATCAATTTTCTAGCAGGTATTTTTGTTATTTGCTTCTTATTAAATCAACAAAGAATACGTGGGAGAAGCATTGAAGAATATAGAAAAAGGAACCTGACTCTTTTGTTTGCAGACTTCCACATTGACTATTTCCCCCTCAGGGACATTGCACATCCAAAGCGTTCACAGTCTTCCTTCTTATTTCATATATGTTGAGAAAGCTCTTTGGTTACTTTGCTCTTTAGACAGATGAGTTTCTGAATTGTCTAAACAGATGCATATGAAAAGAGGGAAAAAAAGAAATGCTGTGCTACTGAGGTGGAAGATGTGATGTGTACAAAGGAGAGGGTAGCATGGGCCAAAAAGGACTGAAGTCCAGAAGCTAAATTATACTATATTGGTTCTTTTCCAAGGGTAACTCTAACACAGGATTTAAATGAATTGTTTACCAGACTGCACTCTTCCACTTCCTCTTTCCTCTGTTTCCCTCTGCTCCTCTGCTCCTCTGCTCTGTCTTTTCTTCTTTTTCCTTGTCCTCCTTTCCCCTCCCCTCTCGTTCCCTCCCTGTTCCTCTCCCCTTTGTTTCTCTTCTTATTTTGTGGGGTAGGTGGGTGGATAAGTGGGTTCTAAAACTCTATACTAT